CATCTGCCTCTCTTTGTTGGATGCAGCATTCCTGATCATACGCTCTTGAGCATTCAACATTTCATCTGTAACAAGCAAAGAGCATAAATCAATAAACCGAGGAAGACAAAAAATGAGGCAATAACATAAAGCTACCTAAGATTATTAGGGCATCCTCGTAAGTGGCACACTCGAGGAGTCCCTTTGTATTGATAAGTCGAGCCTCCAACGCAGGCTCTCTGTCATCATCAAGAATAATTTCCCCGCCCTTAGTCACGCATTAGGAAGGGATGAAACTGTCAATGAAAGCCAGAAGCTTGTTATAGCCAACCAAATCCTCCCATTCCAAGTTGCTCGGTTGGACAAGATACTCCTCAGTTTTCCGGTCAAAGTGATCCCGACTCCAAGCGAACCGAAATCTTTGAACCTGATGCCTCTTCTGTCGGCCATCCTCACCGAGGAGGGGGTTCTCATCATTGTCCCTCATTATCTCCTAGTTGAACGAGGAAGCAATGGCCCTCATAGACACGGGAAGAACGACATAATACTTATCCTTAAACATACAGATGGACTCTGAGTACGCCTTAAACAGTTTTTTTGTCTACTTCAAGAAAACTCAAGCAAATAGTCCTTCTGAAGTCGACCGCTGAAGGTGGAAGTAAGCAAAAGAGAGGGCGACTGTAGCCCCAATCTTAAGGTAATTGCAGACAATCTCAATGCTTGGGTGAAGGCTAGCGAGTTGGGATGAAGTTGAGAGGGCGCTAAATCTAAATGGGTAAAAACTACCACCTGAAGATTTGAGAAAGGCAACCAAAGCCCCGTCTCTTTAAAGACAAACTCATACATCGGGACGGTCTGTATCAAAAGGCGAGCAGATTTGTTCATCTTCATCAGGAAAAAGGACTTCCAAATCCTCCTCGAGGTTCAACGAGTCCTCCCCTTCCCCCGCGGTGGTGAACGCCTCCCCGGGGAAGGAAGCATAGATTGAAGCTATCCCCTGAGGCCCAAAAGCAATCCATTCTTCCTCGAAGTCCTCGCTCAGCTCAACCATATTCTCGTCCTTGGCATCATTGGCCATTTTACCTGAAAAGCATATGAAAAAAGTGAATTCAATGATCAAATAAAATCCACAATTCATCCGTTAATCAAGCAAAAAGGCGTGCAAAGGCCCGAGAACAACATCCTCGGCCAAATACCTTACTTAAACAGCAAGCAAATATATGAGGAGATTCTCACCAACTAGTTCAGAGCCTCCCCAATAGGAAAATTAATAAGCCCTTATGAGGAGAGCCTCCCATGCGCACTACTCAGAAATTCGTTTGAACATTCATCAGAAACTTCATACATTTATCAGAAACTTCATACATTCATCAGAAAGTTCACACATTCATCAGAAAAATCATGAGTACTCCAGAGAACTCACGAGCCCTGCCGATGACTAGCTCGTGTGCCGCTGTATCTATGCCCCCTAATCAGCCAAAAATGCATAAACTCCCAACTAGACCTCACCCTCGCGTCGGTGACAACATCTGAAAGTGGCTCAGTCGTTGTCAAACACCAAAAATCACCGGAGCAACGCTCACTCTAACTGAATCCATCATATCTTCATGCATTCTTGTCAAAAGCAAAGCTAAGTCTAACATAAAAAGAAGTGAAATAGAAAAAATTATATGGTCAGAGAAGTTAAAAACAGTGCCTAGATGCTTCTATTATAGCAGTGAACAACGGTGGCGGCGGAGGAAGCTAAGAGCAGAGAGACCGAAGAAGAAAGAAAAGCAAAAAGTGCAAATGTTCTCTTACCTCTCATATTTATAAAGAGTTCTTCACGCACGTGCACGCGCATGCACGACCTAGGATAATGTAGGGGTCATCATTAAACCTTAGCCCCTAGGCTGACATTATTACGCATTAACTGCAATGTGTGGCTCAATGCAGGCGTGAAACACAACCTCTCAAAGTCCAATCACATGTTCAGATCCCCGCGTGTCGAACATAGGAAATGTCAATTTGGTTTCATCGCACGAACACATCCTCGAGAAACCCACAAAATATCCCTGACACGAACAACAAGCGATGGTAACATGATTCCCTCCTCGACGCGCAAGCTGACTCTATGTTATTACACATATGTCTAGGAGCAACAACTTGGGGGGTTCATGTTCTGGTTTAGCCCAATGACTAAGCATGGCCCAATCCACTTTTGCTATTAGGATGGCCCAATCAGTTTGGACAGACAAAGGACAATTGTCCCTTCTACCCCTCAGTAGGGGACACATGGTTGGTTGTTTCTTAGAGCTAACAAGACCATTGTTGCCCTTAAACCACACCTTTGCCCGCGTCAACGGCTAATTTCACTATGCCAGTCACGCGCGGAGTAGCCACCCAGGAACGACCATAACGAATTTTCTCTTAACTACGCCCCTGCTCGAAGCAACGACTAGTTTCGAGCAGATTTGTCCGTCATAACGGCTAGTTCCTGGCAGTTACCTATTTTTGGGGACCTGATATCCAAGCCCAAAAATAGGAATCAATGGCCAAGCATCGGAGACACTATATAAATCCTCACACTTGTGAGGATCAGGTATTCAATATTTAATATATACTCTAAAACTCTAAACTCTCTCTTGTATCTCTTTGCACTCTTACTTATTTGAGCACCGAAATGTCTTACAGATACACCCCCTCCTCCTTGATTTCAGCCTTGCTGGCGTCATCTATCAATCTATTATAGGTTTTGATCACTAGATATGTATTTAAAATCTTCAAGAGTTGTGCTTTTGTAAAATAGACATTATGAGTCTCATTTGTAATAATCAAGTAACCTTACAATATTATATTGAATTCAATCGTTTATGAACCGACTAAAGATTAATTTTTATTTTATTTGCAAGAAGATTGTATCTGATGTGATTGATGCTTCATTTGTTAATTATAATGATCAATAGACAAATATTTTTTTATAAAAACACTTTGAGAACCAAATATAACCTAACATGTGTGACAAAATTGATGTTTGTTATATATATACTCCAACTTGAGAGCAGTTGTGACACATATATATACATATATATATATATATATATATATATATACATATATATATATATATATATATATATATATATATATATATATATATATATATATATATATATATATATATATATATATATATATATATATATATATATATATATATATATATATATATATATATATATATATATATATATATATATATATATATATATATATATATATATATATATATATATATATATATATATATATATATATATATATATATATATATATATATATATATATATATATATATATATATATATATATATATATATATATATATATATATATATATATATATATATATATATATATATATATATATATATATATATATATATATATATATATATATATATATATATTGATTTTTATATAATCATGTATTAAATAAGACTTGATTATGAATTGTGGGGATTCTCATCGTACAATATTGAACATAAAGAATAGCAAGTTGAGAGTCAATTTATCAAAGTCACTCGGTATAAAAAATATTGAGGTTTTTTCCTCACACCCTACAAATTGAACTTGACATTCTCACACCCCTTATATTTTTATCATATTAACCTCGTACAATTTTATAATTCATTTTACAAAAATAATAGTAGATTTTTTCGGATTTTTTGAAAAGCTCTCAAAGTTAAAAATATATATTTTTTCTGTATTTTATGAAAAAATTCAGAAAAACTTATGCACTTTTTTCGAACATTTTGAAAAAATTTGGAAAGTTACAAAAATTCCATTTTATTTTAAACTTTGGTTGGTTTAAAAAAATTGTTTTATTTTTCAAATGAAGATGAGAGGTACAGATGGTACGATTGTTGATCGACACTATAATAGAGCTGCTTCAAAGGCTCGAGAGAGGGGAGATGACGTAGAGGACTCGCATCTCTGGACGGGGAGAGTCGCACCGATTGATTCTCATAAGAGGCGGCTGGCGGCCGATCAGTTTCATGCATTCCGTACTACTCAACGTAGAGCAGCTAGACCTACTTCTGAATGGACGAGAAATGATGATGATGATGATGATGATGATGAGCAAAGCGACAAGACATGTGGCTCCCTCCGAAAGCCGTAACTCTATAAGAGATTTCACCGTATTGTAATACATTTCTGCCTTAACCAAAAACTAATTAAGAGACATTGTAAGATATTACTCTTAACACATGATCCTTAGTTATACAAGTTTTGATTCATTCTAGACCACAAAAAAAGGGTCGGTGCAATCAATCGTATAAAAGTGTCGACAAAATCTCAATCTTTCAGTTTTCCTCCTTTTATTAACTACCAGATTTTTACTCATGGATAAAATACCCGGTAACTCTCGGATTTGTTGTAAAAATCCAGTTATAACCAAACATTCAGATCTTTTGAAAAATCCGGTGCACCAAATTTTTCGTATATACTACCAGTTTTTTGGTGACCGATACCGGATTTTTCATAACTAATTACAGGATACTTTGTCCAAACTTTTGGCATAAATTCACAAGGGCATCATGCGTATTATTGAAAAATGAGGATGTCAAGTTCAAATTTTTAGTGTGTACAATGCCACATGTAAATGCTATGGTATCCATTCTCAAATTTTCACCATTTAGCATAACACAGTCATTGATTTCAATGATACAATGCCACGTGTAGTTTCTAGAAATACATGCTCAGTTGTGTACCATTAAGCATTTCTCTAGCAAGAATGGCTTAATGATCGTCTATGCAACACAAGCTGAGCCTCTGACATTAACCTTCATCTGGAGCAAAAATAATTAAAAACCCTTCATTACCGAGAATTTTCACTTTCCCATCAGCTCATAATAAAAGAGAACTATGATATAAACATGAACCAGTTTCATGTATGAATGAAATCAATTCTTTTGGACAAAACTCCTATGTAAGAGACTGTTGTTTTGGACAGTTTTCCCAACTGGACTGCATCCTCATCACCAGTGATCACCACAAGAACACATGCCATGTTTAAAATGATGATAGCGATTAACATCTCTTACAGTAATTTCCCTCTCTGTAATCTTTGAGATGAACTTAATAGCGACGTGACAGTCCTCACAAATTCGGAGATTCTTTGTTATCAAAAGCCGGGTTCCTGGTGACGTACTTATGAGTCCAAATGCAATAGCTAGTCTTTCACTGTGACTGCACACCATAGTTGTTTTTTCATCTTCCTCCACATCATGGAAAACAGATCCTGTATCAGGGGCATATCCAGCTTCATGCATTAGTCCTTCTAACCTTTTCAACTCTGCATATATTGCTTCAGAATTTGAGTGTGAAACATCTCCTGCAAGAAATGCATACACTTTGTTCTTTACTTCAATCCAACTACAAGCAATGTTTTTCTTTATTCCTTTGTCTATCATTAACTGTCTCAATTTTTCCACTCCTTCCCACTTGCCTGATTGAGCATACATATTAGCCAAAATCACATAATTGCCGGAATCATCTGGCTCAAGCTCAATTAGTTTCTCTAAAGCTAACTCAGCCAACTCCACATTCCCGTGGATTTTGCATGAATTCAGCAAAGCACCCCATACACCAGAATCCGGCTTAACACTCATAAGTCTTATAAGATCATACGCCTCATCTAGTTGACCACAGTGACCAAGAAGATCAACCATGCATGTGTAATGTTGAACTGTAGGATTGATACCATAATCCCTCACCATCAAGTTGTACAAGGCCCGTCCTTCATCCAACAAACGCCCTCGACTGCAAGCTGCCAGAACACCAACAAAGGTTATATGATCTGGACGAGCCTCCTTCCTCATTTTTTCAAACAAGCTCAAAGCTTCAACAGCAAGACCGTGCATTGCATAACCAGTAATAATTGCATTCCAGGAAACAACCCTTCTCTCCCAAAGCCGCTCAAACAAAGCACACGCAACCTTCACAGAACCACATTTTGCATACATATCAATCAAAGCGGTTTTAACCTTATCATTGGATTGAAATCCACGTCTCCAACCAAATCCATGGATTTCCCTCCCATAAGGGAGACATGCAATGTCAGCCGAAGACGAAATGACAGTCACAAGAGTTGCCTCAGTAGGTTTCACACCCACTGCCGCCATCTCACGACAAAGAGAAAGTGATTCATCGGGGTATCCATTTTGAGCATAAGTTGCAAGCATAGAGTTCCACAACACAGCATCTCTCTCAACAATGTTAATAAACACGTGATAGGCATCCATTACACAACCACATTTGGCATACATGTCAATAAGAGCTGCACCTACAAAAACATCTCTCTCCCACCCATTTTTTATCACATACTCATGGATGTTCCTTCCCTCTCCAATTGCAGAAAGTGCTGAGCAAGCTTTAAGAACAAACGGTAAAGTAAAATTATCAGGCTTGAGCCCATAATCAAGCATCTCATGGTATAACAAAATGGCAGTGTCATGGGGTCCATTCCAGGCATAACCCCGAATCAAAACGTTCCACAGAAACAAATTTCGTTTGGCAATATTGTCGAACAGGTTATGTGCATTTGGAAGAGAATTCGAAACCGCGTAAAGATGGACAAGTTTAGTGGCCAAGTGTTCATCGTAAGCAATACCCAGATGACACAATTGAGCATGGAGCTGTTTCCCTGGGTTTAACGCCTTGGAATCGATACAAGATTGGAGTTTTGAAGCATAACCGTAGCTGGTATGTGACGGAGAATAGGAATCGAATTGTTGGGTGGGTAATGAGTGATAGGAGGATGGAGAAACAGTGAAAAGGTTGAAGAGTGATGAAAGTGTTGTTGAGGTTTGTCGTGTTTTAGTAATAGAATAGAAACACATTTGGTTTCGAAAACGAGGATTCATGAAATCTAGTATCAGTAGTACCAATGCATTGACTAAAAAGTTCTTATCGGTATAAATTGTTCTTAATTTTTAAACCCAGCAATTGGATTTTGAGAAAATAAAATCTTTCTATAAAATCATAAATAAAAGACCTATGATATTTTAACACTTTTTTCACGCATCTAATATTTGATATACTAGATATCTATTATAAATCTATAAAAATTAAATTATTTGAAAAAGCATGAATATTAGATATTTCATGTTTGTGCTTTATTAGAATTTAAAAGTTCGTCTTTCATTAATGTATTTTTAAAATGAGGTTCTGAATCATTTTTGTATTCTTCCTTCGCAACTTAATCTTTGTGTCTAGGGTTTAATATTAGTATTTCAATACTAGTAAAAATATCTAATGAGTTTGGCTTTCCGAGATCTTTTATTCAATCCTTTCGAAGTATGTCCTGTTTCAAATGGAGTTGTTAGTCACGATCTTGTTTTCCTCTGTCGTATCTAAAACTGAGTCTTTAAGGTCTAAAGTGACAATTCCGCGGAGGAGAGGAAATGGGTGTTTGGTAAGTACATGCTTCTTTTTTTTTTTTGTGAATGCATCGATCTGTTTGATTTCCATCTTATTATTTTATTTATTTATTTATTGTTTCTATCTTTTCAAATAAGTATAAGAAAATTTTGATTTTGTTGGAGTTCAGAGTTGTCTTGATTGTCTCGGCCCTTTCTGAGGATCGACCTAAGAATAAGTGTGTCAAAATTAATATTGTTGCCCCTAACAAAGATCAAGTGAAGGGAAAGAAACAAGCAAAGTTGATTTTGTGAGTGACATCATTAGAGGGTCAGAAGGTGTCTGTTCTCGTTTGCGTTCTTTGTTGACTGATACATTTCTTCAACAAATAAGAAGATTAAACCACGTTGTTTCTGTCAATGAGTATGCTTTTGTTGGTTGATTCTCTTCCTCCGGTCGACTCGAACCGGCAAAGGAGATAGCGACTTGTGTGGTGAGTGTAACACCCTAAACTCTAAATATTTAATTTATAAAAAGGTCATTACCACTTTTGTTCTCTACTATATAGGCGACTTTTAGCTTACCTCCTATAAAAAAAATGTAAGACTGACTTTGTCACATGAAAATGACACATGTCAAGTGCATAGACAATGGAACTTAAATCCATGTCTTTCTCAATACATGTTAGGGACGCTGCCATTAGATAAATTTACTTGTCTTAATTTGTATCTAACTGAAATATATATATTACATATTTATTTGTCATATTTCATATTTTTATTATATTTTTTTGTTTAAATTATTACATATTTAATAATATAATATTATTTTATTAATTTTTATTAATTTTCTATTTTAATTGTTAAAAAACACATCATTTAATTTTCTGTTTTTATTATTGTTTAAACTTGCTTTTTTATATTAACTGTTATTATGTTATATATTAAATTGATATTAATTTTATGTTTTAATTATTTTAATATTAACAATTATTAAAACTATTTTAATTAATTTTCTATTTTAATTTTTGAACACATTAAAATACATATTCATATTTAAACACATTTAATCATTTTCATTATTTCTAATTTACAAAATATTTATAGTTCACAAGGAACATTACTTATAATTTACAAAATATTTCAAATTCACGAGGAATATTATTTTAAATATACAAAATATTTCTAAATTACAAGGAACATTATTTATAATTTACAAAATATTTTAAAATTTTAATATAGGTTTTGAACTTCACATTTATGTTATTTAAATTTCACATTTAAAAACAAAAATTTATAAAAACTTAAAATTAATTTGTAATATCATTAAAAAAATTATGCATTTAAAATAAAAAATAAATAGTTTATTAAAAAGTTTCAGTTTATTCTTAAATATTATAAGTTTCAGTTTATTTTTTTTTTAAAAATAGTTTCAATATTTTTATTAAAAACTTATTATTTGATACATTATTTAAAACCTTTTATTATTTGAAACTTTTTATTATTTGATACATTTTAATAATAAATTATGTTGTTAAATTTAATTTCAGTATATATTATCATGTTATTAACAATTAATATTTGATACATTGCATTAAAAAAAATTCAAATAAAATTAATATATAATAGAAATATAAAATATGGCAAATAATTATGTATTATATAGAGTTAAGTAGCAAAATATATCACATTGGACTTAGGTTCAAGTCCCATTATCTTCAAAAGTTTAGAGTTGTACGATCACTAATTTTTCTAAACATAAAATTGTAATAAATAAAATATCAACGTGGCATTTAAAATAATTCAAAATAATAATAATAAAGCCACTTCAACATTTTTATAATTATAAAATAAAATAAAAAAATTCAGACAACGCGCTACCTAGGCACTTGCCATGTATCATTTTCTGCTAAGGTCTAAAACGACATAATCTTCATATGAATAGGTTAGTTTAAAAAAAATATATTATAAGGAGGTAAACCAAAAGTTGCCTATATGACAAAGGACAAAAGTGATAATAATCCTTTATAAAACATGCAAAAAATGTACTAAAAAATAAGGTGTCACATTTTCTTAGCATAACCTTTCAAAATCATTTTACAATAGCAGTGGAACTTAAATATTCAACACAACTTTTATTTGCTCACAAAATATCATTCAACTTTATTTAAATCATAAATCATCAAATCAAATAAACTCAATAACTCACAGAAACATAATCAAATAATCTCAACTTAGTATTACACTATCATAGCGACACACAGACACTAAACAACAAAATAGATAAATAACAAAGAAGGTCAACTATGTTATCCTACAATACAAGCAACAATTAAAGCTCATCGGTCTCAACTTGAGTATTTGCACCATATGGGTAAAGAATAACATAGAAACAAACAGGGGATGAGAATACATTCGCATATGTTAACGGTGCATAAAACATCAAGAATAGTACTAATAATATCATTCACCAATCACATAAATCATCCACACAATAATAAATCACAATGTGATTATGTATGCAATATATTCATCTTCTCTACTTTAATATATGTTGTACTAAATTTTGAATGTCAAAGTTATGTTACTGAAATCCACTCATCATTGGTTCCTCTCTAAACCAAAACTCGCCATCGGACTGAAGTCTCAAACTCGTCATTGGTCCCTTCTCTGAACTAGAAACTCGTCAATGGACTGAAGCTCATACCCCTATCTCTGATATACATGATGCATGGATGTGACAAACAAATGTAATACTCGTTTGAAGCCTTCAACTCTGTAACTCATCAATGGTTACTCTCTGAACCTAAAACTCATCACGAACATCGCCAATACAATGGCACAACAATGGTTTCTCTCTGAACCAAACATCTCAGCATAACTTAACATTTTTTACAATAATTCAACATAATCATTAAAATAATTATTTTCTCGATAATACTCATCAACAACATCAAAACAACACCAACAAACCATCAATATTTAACAAGGAATGTCCATAGAACTCATAATTAACTTTAAAATATATCGATAACTCTAACTCAACTCATTTAATTCTCAAACTCAACTCTAAACATATTAAATCTAACTCTAGACACATCAATAATTCAAATTTAACTCTAAACATATCAACTCAACTCTAAACAAATTCAACTCAATGAAGGTTGAGAAAAACACAAGAAAGGGAGGTTTGAATTGGGTTCTCAATTTTTTTTGTTTAAAAGTGCTTTACACAAACAAACAAAATAGAATCAATGCTACTTTCAGTTTATACAGGTTCACCTTAGAAAAGGCTAATCTTGTCCACCCGCCAAGGTGATTTTGCCTTAGAAAATGACTTAATTCACTAATCTTAACTAACAACAAAGCAATGATAACTTATTAGTGATCCCTTAAGAATTCTGACCTACTCGGTCCCTTAAGTGATCTAACAGTCACTGACTTTTTAAGACTTCTGACCTACCCGGTCCCTTAAAGGAGATTTCTCTAAATCTTCTTAAGTATTCAGACTAACACCTTAGTCACTCAAGGAACAATCAAGTTACAATTGAATAATGTGTTTACAAGATTGCTTCTTACAAGCGGATTGCACAAATGTTTTAAGTATAAATTGTTTAACACAAACATGAGCAACAACACTTGTGTTTAAATAAATTCCAATAGTAACACAATAATGAGCAACAATTCTTGTGTTATATAAAATAATAATGTCAACATGGTAATGAGCAATAACTCTTGTGTTTTTATCTTTTTCTTTTTCTTGCTTTGATTTGGGTAGCATTATTGTTCTTGTTCTCTTGTCTTGCAGTATTTTCTCACTTTTCAAATGAATTGCTTGAACCTTTATATAGTCATTGAGGAAGTAGACCGTTATAGTAGTACACACGTCACTTTTATCTTGCCAGCTACCAACGGTAAGAAATGATCGTGGGAGACAAATAGTACACAATACATCTATTTGAATGGAATGTGTAATTATACCTATGTACTAACTCTTATAGTGCATGTTTCTCATGATATTGTCTTTTGATGAATATTACTTCTAATGAAGTTGATTGGCTTGAGAAGATATCATCTTTGATCTTGTCTTCTGATAGACTATATGATGTAGAATAATAATGAGTCTAGAAGATCTAACTTCCCTTGATATGTGTTATGATGGAATACTTCTGATTTAAAGTAATGTGTGCATATTCCATGAAGTATCCAAGTCTTTAGAATCTTGACTTTGTCTTCAGAATTAGAAGCAACAGCTTTTCTGATGAACAAACCTTGACTTCTGATTCGGAAGTAAAAGCTTTTCTTTTATGTGTTCAGAACCTTGACTTTGTCTTCAGAGTTAGAAGCAACATCTCCTATGACGAACAAATCTTGACTTCTAACCTTTAAAGCAAAAGTGTGTTTCTGGTGCAATCTTAATTTTTGATCTTGAAGCAGCAACTCTAACAAAAATTCTTTTTTCTAGAATACTTGTGACTTCTGAAGCTGCAACTTATTGAGAAGTA